TGCAATGTAAATAAGTTGCCGTAAGTGACACGTGACATTCCAGATTTGTTTTTGCAGAATGTGGTTAAGCGCTGGCTGGTGATCACGGTCCGTTAGCCGAGGAGTGGAACATCCAGGACTCCGTCAAGTGCATGCAGGAGAAATTCGTTTCACAAGTAAATGATCCGATGCGTGCGAATCAGCCGCGAGCCTGCGACCACAAAGTGGTCCACAACCGTGCGATGTGCAGTTATGCTGCATTCGGCCACAGTCCCGTTGCAGTCGGAATGCCCCATCGAGCCAATGCAGCAGATGAGTAGTGGATTCCAAACGATGCACATCGGACATGTGGCGGCTTCGACTGTTGCATCCAGCCTAGTGGTAGCGTTTAACCCGCCGGTAGAACACCGGCGCAACAAGATGCATGTACAGGCACATGGCGCGAGGGCATAGTGATTAGGTCAGCCAGGTGGTCATGGTGCTCATCATGAGATGCTAGTACGACACGCTGTAATCGAGTTGTTGGAAGCTGAGAACAGCATCAAATCCCAGCAAGCTTTGCTGCTAGCATGTGTGCACAAAAGCAGGCTCAGGCTCATGCCATGTATAAGCTTCTTTGCAAAGTTGCCATGTCTTAAGGGGCTTGTTGCAGCTAGGCTCAGGCTCAACTCAGCCCGCATTGAACGCACTGTATCGCTTTCTGCATGGTGATGGTGTTTTCATGCGCCAGAGTTTGTCGTGATTCAAGGAATACACATAGCACGCGCAGCACCTACTGTAAGTATTGCCCCAACACTGTACCATTTGTTCTCTCCATGCACATGGGTGTATTAATGTCCGTAGAACATGGCAGCGGCGGTCTGTATGACCTCCTCAAGGCCAGCGACAGGATGAATATACTTTTGTGATTGTCAAACGCGAATTCTGTCTTGGATCTCCGAGCCGATGACATCTGCATGTAGCCAGCTAGCTTAAGCTCGATTTTGTGGAGGTGCCTGAACTGCGGTGCGAGGTTCGCCGTCGAGGTCTTGACCCAGTCGGTGCTCCAGCATGTTTCATTGTTCACCACAAATTAGGCAACGAACATCTGAACTATCCACGCTCGAGTGATATTGATACAGTGATACATAAAAGACTGATGGCATGAAGCTTGCAGGTACTCGGAAGGAGCTTACGCAGCGCTTGATAGCCCATGATTGGCAGAACGGTACCTCCCCGAGAACAATGACGCAGACCGTCTTTTCCGGTAGGCTTGGATGTTTGTCAATGCTGGATGATGCTAGATGCATTCACCGCTGTGACTTTTCGAGATCAACTTGAAGATTGAATCCATGCGGCACACAGCCATCGATTGTTAGCATGCCCGCGCACGGTGTTCCGAGGAGATCAGTCCATTGTGGATCCTGCGCCATTTGGCAGGCTCGAGGGCAATCAGACCCTAAGTCTGAATGCCTTTGTACCAAGGAGCCAGCAGGTTGGAGAAATGAGACCTGTGGCGGTTGCCGCCAAAAGACGGGTGAAGAGGCGAGATGTTTCAGTTTGGGCTACTGGCGGTCAACTTGGTTGTCTTGCATTGCAGGCGGCGAAGGCAGATAGGTGGCTCTGAAACGGTTGAAGGCACTACTACTTCGGTGCAGCCGCAGGACTTTTCGAAACGCTCCGTGGGCGTCCCATTGAGAGATTGCCTCACAGATGTCCCATCTGACAGGAAACATCCGTGAAGATGCAAGACAGTGATGACAGCCTTCAAGCTGAATGTGGCTTTGACCTCGCAGAAGAGGAGCTGCGACAGGCTGTGCTTCAGAAAAGGCTAGCCATGCATTTCAGACCAATGATGACTCCGTACGAGGCCATGCAGAAACTTCTGTCTTCTCACGGGCAGCAGGAGATACGATGTACCAGTACAAGGATAAGATTTCTATCGGTGTCTGTGCCGAACACCGGAGTACTCAGGAGGCAAGCCCACTGGCTCCAAACCAACGTGAGGATGGACCAGATACTGCGACGGAAGCGGCCGATGAGGTCATCGTGTCTGCTGTTAATCACGCACAGTGGCTGGCAACCCCATGTGTTCTTTCCGAGTCTTGCCGTTGCGCTGCGAAAATCTGCAACACTGTTCCGCATGTAAACCGAAATGCTTGCCGGGACAAGGCTCTCCGAAAACTCTTCCCCGCGAAAGACCGACAACCCAATTGATGCTCTGCGAGTTTGCCGAATGACACCGAATTTTCAACATTTTTCAACCACGACCTGCGCCGGCCCTGCTTCGTCAGCATCCTCTGTTCATCGTCCCAAGTCCCAAGTATATCAAGTATTCACGGTTTTGGCGGACATCCCCCGCACGAATGCGGGATCCGGCGGTCTCGGCCGCGTAATCCTGAGTGTCAGCAGCGTGCCCCGTGGCAAGAGTCGCGCTTCCGGCGCCACGGCAAACGCCAAGACGAACATGATGCTCGTGGGAGGTCTCGGCGGCCACCTCCTGTGCTGAAATAAGGGCTGAAGCTGAACCTTGGCGGCGGGGCCGGATTGCTTCACCCGCGAAATCCGGTGGAGCAGTTCCATTTCAGTACTGAAATCGGAGTGCAGTTACCACACCGGTACACATTCTTGTGTGCAATGCCCGTGATACCGCATCGATCAGACACTTGAAGGGGACCAGTCGGTTGGATGCATCGGCATAATCCCCCCCCATCATTTGCGCTTCGGAGCGGGAGAGCCCAGCACCTTGACAGAATGTAGTATAGTTAGAGCTGAAGCGGTGTGTCAAAGCAGCTGACGCCAGGCCAGCTGACTATCAGCATGTTTTTGCTGCCCCCAGAAGAACAGGACAAGGAATGTGGACTCACATGGTTTTCAACTTTGGTGCAGCTGGACATCCTGCCTCCAGCCCCGCGACAGAAGAGCACCACTCAGGAAGCTGTTCACTGAACCAGACAAACGATAAAGCGGGGCCCGTTCCTGGTGTATCCCTACGACAGAAATGACAGAGAGCAAGAGCGTACGAGAAGCATCTGCGGCGAATGCAGGCAGTTGCCGTGGTGAATCCTGAAATTGAGGCCCTCAAGTTTCAGGCAGGATTCGGGAATTCGGACCAGTGCCACAGCAACGTTGCAAGACAAGAAGACCTTCTTCAGGTTCAGCAGGCGATGAGAAGAACGGCGCAAGCACAGGCAATTGGCGGCTAATGCTGTCAGCAAGGCTCTGTACTTCGAATTCTGCAGCTTGAATGCCCCTTTCAGATGCGACTGCGCCGCAAGAAAGCAGAAGAGATTCTGCTCACTGGGCCGTGCTCCCGCTGTCATGCCGGACTGGCCTCGTCGACTGCAGCTGAGGCTGGTGAAACATTGCGAAGCGGCCTGCAAAGTCTACCGCGCACGAAGCGATGTCACTTAGCAAGTGAGAGGTGTCGGTGTCTCAGGTGTGTCATGGAATGTCCCGTGCAGCTGTTCGTGCTGCAATTCTGCAACACAGTGCAGCATCTGCCGCTTGTTGTGAGCGCTGGCCTAGGTCGCGGATCCAACTTGCACGAGCGAGTAGCTCTCCTCGACAAAAGAAACAGGAAATGCTTCGATACACCACAGCGGCAGCGGCGGTAAGGGAGCTCATGCAAGCGTGCGCCGGCCATTTGGCTCAAGCAGTACAATGGCCGGTAAAGTACACCGAGCTTCAGAGCTGTGCCCGGCTTGTGGAATATGGGATCTTGATCAAACAATCATAACACAGAGACACAGAGGCACATTCCAGCCAAGAAGCCGTTGAGGCAAATCCTTTGGACGTCAGACCTGAACAATCGGTTGATTTCTTAGCCTTAGAAGCGGCTCCTCCACCGAATGCTGAATGCGCCGGCGATGTTCTCATCATGATCTCGCTTTGAACTAGGCGGCGACCCAGTTGCCTGTGGGTACAGGACTAAGTGCCAGTGTGATGCCATTAGACAGCATCTATGTGGAGCGTAGAGACTGCTTGCAGGCCTGACTGGACATATGGATCTTCATGAGACAAAGTTCGCCAGGACCCTAGTCCTGGACTGCACTCCATGCCGGCTGCCATGAACTCACGTGAGGGAGTGACACCATTTGTGTCTTGTTAGCTATAGTCGACTTCAAAGGCCACGCTCAAAAATTGCGCTGTCTTCAAGCAACTACTTGTCGCATGTTGCCATAGTTGTTGGGGCCTTGTCTTCAGGTTAGCTGGGTGGTCGTTCGTTGTCGAAGAGTCACCTGGGCTCCTTCGACCTTGAGTCATCCTCGTTTGACGTGTAGTGGACTGGCATAGGACTCGTGTCATGCACCCATCTATGCACCTATACATCGCGGCAATTCGCGGCATCTGTCGAGGAGGACAGTTGTGCAAGGACGGAGCAGCTCACCTTCGGAAGTGCGAGCAGGTGTTAAGCTGGATTCGAAAGGGTCATCCCTTTGCAGAACCGGGACCGGACCCACAATCATCCTCTGGCGATTGCTGCGCCTAACTCCTGCGACGAATCTCCAAGCCTTTCGCAATTGCTTTACCCCTTCGCAAGTCCTTCCTGGCTTCGAGGGGTTGACGATGTCATCGACTCTGCTAAAGTCGAACTCCAAGGACATGCCAGATCTTGCTCCACTTGTGGATTCTGCAACCCAAGTACTTGTGTCCCGATGTCGAGTATTCCATGCCCGAACGCAGCATCCGTTGGCTTCCACGCTTGGCTTTCTTCGAAAAACTCTTAATTTCGGTCGAGGAAGGCCATCGACGTAACATGAGTAACAAAACAGGCACCAGCCACTTCAAAAACACTTTCATTTTGCAAAAACCACACAACCCGAAGGTCTAGGTCTAGGCCACCACTGGCAAGTTGTGTTGCAGGGTTTAACAGAAATCGCCGGCTTCGTGTCCTTTGCTATATCATGAATCTGGCCAGTACTCACGGCAAGACTATCGTTGCGGAAGAGACATATCAGGTGCTCTGTATTAGTCAAGCTGCTCAGGCCAGGGATGCTACAGAGGGTTATGACAGACATGGTCCTGATATCGGCTTTGCAACGAGGTCAAATTTATGTTAGACCGGGTGCCCCCGTAGTGAAGACATTGGACATCATCCCTAGCTTTCAACCTTTGGATTGCACACCGAAGGACCCTTTCTCACGATTTTCAGTGCTTGGGTTCGGGCGAGGGAACACTGTCCGAAGAAGATGTGGACTTCGGATGGCGTCACTGGGCACACATCCACTTGTCCCCGTCTCTCCTGCGCCAGGGCGACTGCCGCAGTATCATACCAGAACAAGCATCGACTATCAATGTCCTTCGATCGTCCAGAGCGAAGATTTTTGAGCAGCATCCGATACGACAAGCTGCAGTCTTGTATCCGTGCGCCCTCCTTGCTTGCAAAGCTCCCTCGGCACTCGGCACTGGCCCACTTCGGCAAACTGAGTCTGGTTTTTCATCGTGTGGATGCTCTTAGCTGGTTAGCTGAACCTTGAATATTGCCCGCGGCAATCAATGCCCCTACCCGCCCTACCCACTGTTCGTGCTTTTCGGGCAGCTGCCTGGCCTAAGCATGCCAGTTGATGAGCTGTTGTCACAATTACCCGTGTTTGCATGATTTTGTTCGGTTCGTAGAAGTACAACAGCTGGTCCATGATCGGGTGCCTGACCTTTGTCGAGACTTGTTTGAGAAACTTGCGAATGCAAGCGATGTCATGGGAGTTGACAAGAATTCGCCGTCGTGAAAGTAAGTTGCTACACGGTGCGTATTTCCGACTATATACGGCCTACGGTCAAAGTTAACCTCATCTTTTGGATGCAGTTTTCTCGAATCGACAGCCATACTATCTAACACATTTCGCATCATCTTGATCTCCCTGCAATCGTCATCGCGGCTTCTGCTGAAGTGTCCTCCGCTGCCCCAATCATCTCGGCTACTCTTGACGCCAGCTGTAGGGCCTCGAGTTCGGGGGATGCTCACCAGTCATGTCACTGTGTGCCTTAAGGCCAAGAGCGGAAGGGAGATCATCCACATTCAGGCCCTGCAGTGTGAAAGGCATTGAAGACTATTCAAAGCCACAGTGGAATGCATGAGCCTAGAAAGTGCTTCAGCGAGGCGAGCAAGTGAGGTTGCGAGTGGGGGGACATGTGCGGTGCCACCCCGCATAGACTCCATAGTCAGGCAGTTGAAGGTATTTGCGGGTTGGCAGAGGTCATGCATGCATGGCATTCCAGAGGCAAGAGCTCACGGTGCAGGTGGGCAAAGCCGGTAATGCAATCGGGAACCAGTTCTGGAAGCTTATGTGCGAGGACAGCTTTTTCCTGCAAGCTTTGCAACATCACAGACTACTCTTGGCTAGCCTGGATCGTTACAGTGTGGAAAGGAGCATGGTGTCAATACCGACTCGAAGGATGAGAACATGAAAGGGTGTTTGGTGGATGACGGTTGCTTGTCCGCACTTGACCCGGCTTTCGGCAACTGCTCCAAGGGAGACCTGACGACTGAGGTGACAGCGAGGCTGTTCTTTCACTTTGCGGCGTGCCGCTGTGCACTACGTAAGCTTGCAAACCAGAGCCTTCGTTGAAAGGGCCCGCGGGGATACATTGACGTTTTCTTCAACGAGGGCAAGTCCATGGATAAGAAGGTCAGATATGCGCCCTTCTCAGGCCGTCAGCAAGATCTCGTGTTCAGCCCTTAATCTGTCACAGACAATCGATGAGCAGAAGCAGGGTCAACGCCGTCTTGCGGTGGCTTAGTGAGGCCCATATTGTATGGGTATGTATATATACATATATATGGTACCCCCCAAAGACCAAGGTTTCTATATGAGCTTTAGATACAAGCCTACTTACACTAGCCGATAGTCGTTGGTCTTTGGGGGGGCAGGGTGCCAATAACAACCCTGTTAAGGTGCAGGGACAAACATGCATGACACAACCCCCGTGTGGTTGTCATACAAGCCTGCATACAATAATCCTTATACCATGTCCTGTCGCACATTCCGGGAGGCCTATTGAATTCAATAGGCCCTATTGAATTCAATAGGCCTTCTGGATTGAAGATTGAAGAAGCCCTCGAAAAGTTTCCTGGGAGATCTTCAATCTTCAATCCGGGAGGCCTATTGAGTTCAATATGCCCTATTGAACTCAATAGGGTTTATCTTGAAATCGATCGTGAGGGCCGTACGTGGAAGTGTGAAAATTGGGTTCAGGGGTCAAAGTCTACCGCTGCGTTTGCGTACTTTCGGAGTGCACGCATATGGGTTTTAAGGGCTATGAAGAGAAAGTCATCAACTAGACGTATGATACTACCTTTAAGCTTCCGTAAACGTATTCTTTTGAATTACGCCCAGCTTAAATTCAGATAACACTACTAGTTTTATGCAACAAATGCAGTTGGAATACTAAGAATATAATCGAGGGCTCAATCTATCGAACTGTATACTACTGAGGTATCAAAAGCACATACTTTAACGTCCATGTAGCTAGCTATCTATGCATCAATGTATATTCGATTCAACTATTGGAAAGACTACTAAATGCACCGTATTATTATAATACTTAGGACTGATTTGACATAAGCAAATAAACACTCCGCCTAAATAGGTCCGAGGATCTGGCCTATCCAGCTGTTCTTCATATAAGTATAACGTTGTCCCTACAGGATCCTACAGGCACTACTGTGAATATATTGATTTCTGAGTTCTAATCAGCAGACAACAAACCCTCTATGCTTTTCTTATATTTAAATCGGACGATTGTTAGCTCAGCAAGCCCTATGCTTGAATTGATCCGAGGATTCAATTCAATCTACCCAATCATCTAATTACCAACATACAGAAAATAATGTTTCTGCAGTCAGTAATCCGTATAAACATGTCATTATCCCTGGGTGTAGTGATATCATATGAAGCATTATAATAAATATAGCTTTCTGTCTGTTCGTGTTAACTGGCAAAGCACTTCATGAACAGGCTGTTTGGCTCCTATTCAAAAGTGTAGCTTCCAAGGTTCTACTATACTGCTTCTATTAAGCAGCTATCTGGGTAAATCGCAACAAGGAATCTCAAGCCATATTATTAGCAATTAGCAGTTAACAGACCCTGTAAATTCGATTGTATAACCAATTGCTGAGTACTTAATCTTATTTTTCCAAGAATGAAATGGTGCATGCTAAATGGTAACACCGAGGTCTTATACTTAATAGGCATGTTTAAACTATAAGATTATATGCTTGATATCTCAAACATATAGTCTAAGAATACATGTCTTTGTAGGGCCACATCTGTACTAGTTAACAAACCCCGGAAGTTCAATTCTACATTCAGCTGGCAAATAGGCAAATAGTTAACCTTTTCTTTTCGCATACAATAAATGGTACACACTACACGATGGCATCGAGGTACTATGCTTGGTAGGTGTTTTAAACGTTACAAGTAGCTTGATTTCTTAAAACCAATAGTATAAGAATAAATGTGTTTGTGGGGTTGACCACATACTACAACTGAAGCTAATAAAGCACACGGCATGGGGCGAGTTTTCCATACGAAGTAAGCCGTCAACAGAACATGGCACTTGAATGGAAAACGTTTTGGTCGTGATCGCGATTGGAATGGCTCTAGGCGAGGAAAACCAAAAAAACAATACCAACAAAAAACAAAAGAAACAATACCACCAAAAACAAAAACACTACCAAAAAAAAGTATTTCAGTACTCTTCCAGAATAGCATTAGAATTCTAGATTAATGGGAGCACCCACCAATGCTCTTATCTGAAACCCTTGGTCTTTGGGAGGGGGGTAGCATATATATATATATATATATATATATACACATCTGTGTATATATATGTAACATGTGTACATATATATACATACAATACAACGTAACGCAATAGGCTGCAATAGGTACTGTACGGAAAGATAAAAGATAAATGATGTAACAGAATGCTTGCTGATACACATATACACATTGAAGTATACATGCCGCTCGTTTCTCGATAGTGCAGGGAACCTGATTCTCTCGATTGAAGAAGACATCCTCTCAGCAGGCAATCTTCCTTTATCACACAGAAGCATAATAATCACTGCTCATCCTTATCTGTGGCCAGAAACAACAGAGTTCATGCACTTTGTCACTGATACTTGTAAGGCAGGTTGTTGCTCCACTATGTCTTACACGCAATCGATCATAATTTGAAGTTTGGCGATCCTCCCAGGTTTTGGACCTTGAATAGAATTGGCTGCTCGCCTTGTCATACCATAAGAGAGAAGAGAACTCCCTCGGCGAAAGTATCTTCTCGCTTACTAGCAGCTAGAATACAAAGACCTGTTGTGTATCTGGAGGAAAGATAAAGCTTTGAGATGTGGGCGCGACCTCCATGTCGCTTTATGCTCCAGCGGAAATTAAGACAAATTCAGGTATATGTTGAAGACATTCGATACAAAATGAAACAGCCCCAAACTTCTCATCGTACTCGTAGCTTCATGGGGAACTTTGATCCCTGCGCCTTTTTCGCATTACAAGTTTCAGGATTTTTCGTGAAATTGTGATCCTCGCTGATATTTTCACATCTGACGTTACCAAAATGCTGTCAGGCGCAAAATGCTCGAAGTTTCTAAAGATTGAACTGCAAAACATTGAAGGCAGGGACCAAGTTGCAGCAAGATTCCAAACATCTTGGCACCTACGGCATCCATGGGGAGTGCGGGGGCATATCTGATCCCGGTTCTCGGTTCGCCGACCCCCCAGCCCCATGGTATCCTCCCTCTCCCCCACTCACCAAGCCGAATTTGTGTGACAGCTCACACTTTTTGCACGTGAGGGCTCCAAAACCGTCATCTGTCACGAGGATGGCGTCCCAAAAACGCTCGACCCGTGTGGCACTACAAACTTTTCCGGCACGATTCACACGTGAGGCCGCCAAAGCCGGCAACTGTCACGAGGATCGCGGCCCAAAAGCGCCCGATCCTTGACACTGTGGACACTTCTCAAAGAAAGACGACTTCGACATGAGGGTCTTAAACAAGGCAACTGTCACGAGGACCGCGTTCCCTGACAGGCCCGATCCCCGTGACAGTTGGCCCATTGCAAGCTTATGGCGATTGCCCCCAAAGCGACAGCTCACGAAGAAAGTGGCCCTACGATCAATAAAGCGATAGTGGTTACCAGGCATGTGGGCAGAAGACACCCCATGACCAATCAAAGAAACATTGAAATGTTCGAGTTAATGATGATGACGGGGATCATCGTCCCAAGCAAGCAAGCAAGCAGGCAAAGAAGCAACCAGGCAAAGAAGCAAGCAAGCAAGCAAGCAAGACAGGAAGCAAGGAAGGAAGGAAGCAAGCAAGCAAAGAAGCAAGCAAGAAAGGAAGCAAGGAAGGAAGGAAGCAAGCAAGCAAAGAAGTAAGCAAGCAAGCAAAGAAGCAAGCAAGAAAGAAAGGAAGCAAGGAAGGAAGGATGCAAGCAAGCAAAGAAGTCAGCAAACAAGAAAGTAAGCAAGGAAGGAGCGAGCAAGCAAGCAAAGAAGTAAGCAAGCAAGAAAGGAAGCAAGCAAACAAGCAAGCTTCGGGGCGCAGGCCTGTAGATCAGAAGTGTATCTGTAAAGTGTGTGTATACATATATATATGTATACATATGTATATAGTATCTATTCTACATATACAGACACATACATAGACATTTACATGCATATACATACGCATACATGTATATGTAACAAGTAGCTGAATGTCTATGTGTATATGAACAAATATGCCTACATAACACTGTTGGTGAAAACCTGCGACGTCTCACCGCCCAATCCCAACTCATAGAAGCACACTATGGATATACTACGATCTTGTGCATCGGCTGGTTGCACAATATCTAGGCATGGGGCCGTCCTGCTAGTTCCCCTGACAACGGCCGAACTTCCGCTCGAACCTCCACCTTGAAGTTCAAAACTGAACATCTCTAATCCCCCTGCAGCAAGCTATGCGACGCTTCAGAATCACCTTTCTACATGGCCAAGTTGACAGGGAGAACAGTCGACGTTCTTACCGCCTATGCTTCGAGCCGCAAACTGTGAAAGCCCGAAGTGGAGCGCTGCATGTCGCCGAAGCGCACGCGGTGGAACGACGTTCACGCCGAGGTGCCGACAGGGACCCACCTTGCCGCGGTGGCAGGGCTCAGTACCCCCTCGATAGAGGGGACAAGCTAGCTAGGAGGTCCCCAAACAAGGAAAACGCAAAACAAATTAGAAAGAACTGAGAAAATAAGCAACAAAAACCAAGCCCATGTTGCCCGAGCCATTGGCATTCACCGCTGTGCATGTCTATGTGAGAAATCTGAACACTCCAGCTTTTCAGAGAAGGTGCCCCGGGCAATCTTGCTGGACACCAACATGGGCGACCTTGCGTCAATTGCCGAGGTAAGTTATTTCAGCTGACCCTGCCTGCTCCGTCTAAAGAAACCCTCTGGTCAGGACGTTCAGGTTGGTGATCTTTACAGGCGCTGCCTTCCCTCTTGGGCTGCCTCATCTGTCAGTCGAGCACCGGTTCACGCGACCGCTGCCCGAGTCGCATGCTCGGGCTTGAGATATTCCAAGGGGCACACATACAGGCCTGAAGACATCATCGGCAATGACGAGTCTTCCGGCAACTGCTATGCGAAGGCGCGATCTGCATACACGAGCCCAGCTGCAAATTGGTTTGTTGAGCTATCTTGTGCTTCTTCCACCAAGACGCAGTCTCTTCTGCATCTTGCTAGACAGCTGTTTTCTGATCTTTGAAGTCCGTGGAAGCCTGGCGCGATGTAGGTTCCGTGAAAATGATTGATGTCTAAAGTTAGGCAAATTACTTGTCTGGAATTCACGACGAAGACTAAGTGTTTATAGTTGTAAAAAATTATCAGTCTTCTACGGCCTACACTTACGGAACTTGCTTCACAAAGCTGTAGTCGGGATATGTGCCTAGTTCAGATGTGTGAGAAGAAATCTCAAATACCACGAACCACAGTGTAGCTGCATGTAGCTGCAAGACGACAGCAGTCCAGCACAAGAACAAAGAGTGGGCCCAGGGCCCAGGGTCTTCTATAGCAATCTATAAGCATCGTTTATGCCTTAGGCAGGTATGTCTGTAGGCTCTACGCAAACTGCACGATTGAAGGCTGCTCTGCTGTGCATGCAGGCATTTCATACCGAGGGACCAGACCTGGCCGACCGATGTCTGGAGATGGTCCGCAAGGAGGCAGTTGGGGTATGTTGCCGTCGAATTTCGAGTCGAGCTCAAGAGTGGCGACGGCGATACTTTCAGTGCAGGTGGAGAAATGCAATTGCTTGCAAGGGGCGCTGCTCTCAGACTCTCAGTCCTCAGCGAACGAACATGGCCCATGGCAGTAATTGAATGAAGTGACTCAGTACTGAAGACACCGAGACCGCCATCAATTTTTCTTTCTCTCAGCGGGTATGCTCCCTCAAGCTACACAGACAACGTCTGGCTTTCAAACGTCCAGCTTGCAGGTCCAATTCTGCCATTCTGCCTCCGGTGGTACTGGGACTGGGTCTCGCCGGCTCTTGAAATTGAACTGGAGCGGCCGTTGTCATGTCGTGTTATGTGGGGTTCGCATGCAGTGGAGATTGTTGGACTTTCAGACCAGCTTAAGCGACCCAGGCCATTCATCAGATTCAGCACTTTTTGGGAAGGCGGCGCTTGTTCGCCGAACATGATGACTGGGCAGTTGAGGTTTGGGCAAGGCCTGCAATTCTGTGCAGCGGGCGCGTGGCAGGTTGACGGGTCTCCTGCTGAAAACGCTCAGAGATTATTTGGACAAGCAGAGCCGAGCGGCCCTGTGCCAAGTTTTTTTCGACGCAATGTTCGTTTGTGGCACCTCGGAACCAGGTCATGCAAAGCTTCGTTTTGGTTCCCTTCTCGGATGTTTGTCAAGAGAACGGCTTTGGTCACCAGAGATGTGATTCCAAGGCTCCAGCCCCAGCAATCTCGGACGTAGTTCTCGAGCCGTACAATGCGTCTGACACTCAGCCGCCGGTCAGCCGTGTTGTTGATGTTGAAAAGAACCAGACAGAGACCGACACAAATGGATACATCGTTTGGCCTGGCTCTGTTGCCTCAAACATGATTTTGCTTCCATGTCCCTTCCAGCGCATTACGGAAGCATATGTTTACGAAGGATGCCTCAGAGGCGACTCAGGGAGAGGTACCCGCTGCTGTCCACGAGCCGAGAGCACTCTTAAGGAGTGCAGTGGACTCAGAAACCTTTCAAGGGGCTCTTCTTGCAGGTAGTGTCAAATTCTGACGCTCAACGAAATGCAGATGTCTGGCGAGAGTAGTCGACTTGACCAATCTCCGTGAAGTCCTCATCCATTCCACCTGGTCCGCAATCAAATAAATCATTCCAATTTTGATCGGAGTCGGAGGACACCCTCCCGGACTCGGAACCGACAGTAACAGTATTGGTTTCGAGCAGCAGGTGGAGCAAGTGTAGGTTGTGAGATGTGTCCTTGCAATCACTACCTACCAACTGTTCACTGCTGATGTGCTTCATGTTCGACTCCTCTTGCAGTTGGTTGCATCTAAGACAAACTCATGCAGGGACAGAGCAGCAAACCTGCAGTCGTTGAATTTAGTGAATTTAGTGCGCTTGCCCTTTTTCACTGCCTGTAGCTGCCAGATGCTCAGCGAGTCCTTGCCAAGCTGCTGCACGTTAGGCTGTCCATATCTGTTAGACATCTTTCCCAGCAAGCCCTGTGCACCCGCTCTCGGTTTAGAGCTGATCCGAAGCTCTCGGAGTCCTTTTTCTCATCAGGTGTTTATGCTTCCAGGACTTATTAGAGTACACGGATCAGGCCTCCCGCGAGCTCTTTGGAATGCGCACCATATGGCATCTTCGGACTTCGGAGGTGTTTCTCTTCGACAACAAAGCCCTTGGCCTCTTTGGCTGCACGCGACAGTGAGCGTTGCATAAAGGAAGCATCATTCCCTCCTCATTCCTGTCGCAACGAAGGCGAAATATGCCAGAGAGCTTTGGAGAAGGAGCCTCGCGCCTCTACCTGCAGCATGCTGCTTCGTTGAAGTTGGGAGGACATGCCAAAAATGGTTGATCTGAATAGCATCATAGCGCGGTGCATGCAGTTGCCTCAGCCAGAGTAGAGCACCAGTCGAACGTAACCCCACTCACTCTCACTTGCTTGGAGGTCGGGCATCACGTCCTGCCTCCGATACACTGGGCCCTTGAACGCGGATCTGCGAAAGCTACAGGTACGTGCTCGTCTGATCTGTTCGTGAATTACGAGTAGTAGGCTGTAGGACTGTAGGGTGACGGTGTCTTGTTTCATGTTTTGGCAAGACCAACCTGGTGCCCTTCAAGAATGCACACTTTCTCATCAACGGCTTGGCACCGTTGAACTCCTTGGCATCTGGAAAGCCTCCCCGGCCAATGTTAAAGCAGCTTCGGGTCCACTGTGGCGCTTGTATGCGCTTGTCAAGCTATGAGCTTCCGGCTGTGTCATGTCAGGTACAGGAGGGCCACCGTGCTGGATCTGTCGCAACAGATGTTGTCGAAGGAGATGGGCACCTGCCAGTTTAGTCAGCGTCAGACTGACTTGCCGAGGACAATGTGACAGTAAAGTGCGATCCGCTCAACCCTGGAGACGAATTCCACGTTCTCCTGGCATGTGAAAGCTATTCAACACATGATGACTGCGAATAGCTTGGCAAGCTTCCCCTCCGGATTCAGATCTGTCGGTTGTGCTTTGTTCAATGCCGTTCGGAGTTTGCTTTCAGGGGCTGGGCGGGGTTGTTTCCACGCTTGTCTTCCTGCCCACAGCAACTGACGACAGCACGCAGGGGGCTTGATTTGGGAAATGCTCAGTGTTTCAAGCAGGGGTGTGCAAGGAATTTCAGGTGCATGCATGATGCAGATTGGGGCCGCGCTCTTCGGGAGTTGATGCCGTCGCATCTTAAGGCTACTTGCGTGTATGCCACGAAAGCATCTCATTGTTCAGGAAGGCTGCTTTTTCGATGAGGGATGGCACCTCTCCCCGCCCTGTCTGTCTTGACGCAAAGTAATATACTGCACGGGCGACCCGCCTAGCACAGGCGGGCCCTCGCACTTTACACAGTTTCCCGCAAGCTACAGGGGGACCAAGGCATCGTACTTTGACTGAGGCAGGCCTTGTGTTGCTGTTTGTAGGGGTGACCCTTGAGTGAGCAAATCCGCAACCAACCCGGCTTGGTCGTGTGGCGTGGTATGCCGCACAATGCTATCGGTGTGTTCAGTGTATGCGCTGAAGACATGGATGCCACCGAACAGCGGGGACACTTGGGGAACACGGTTGTCGCGGGCATTTAGGATAGTGCTTAGAGGGCTCGGGGACGAGGCCGGGATTTCGGGGAGGTTCAGCGACAATCGTACACTCCCGCACTTTGCCGAATGTGTTGATGAAAATCATCTTCTTAAGGTCCCAAAGTCTTATGTAACCAGACAAGGAGGCGGGTGCTTTGACCCGGGTCGGATCGCTCGGACCTTGACCCAACGAAAGGAGAATGGAAGAGCCCCACAACAAACTAGCGAGCAAGCAAGCAAGCCAGCAAGAGAAAGAAAGACAGAACGAAAGAGAGAAAGCACGAAACAATCAAAGACGCCCAAGGGCAAGTAAACGTTTCAAAGTGGTTGTCGTTTTTGCTGCTGTTCTTGCTTTCAGGAAGGAGCTTTGCTATGCGATGTTCAGCGAAGGCTTAATTTTACGTCGTTTAGTTATGAGCTACTTATCTACTTCGCAATGCAGCTGACAAAGACCACTTCATCAATCACACTCGCGTACGAACATGCGCTCGCCATGTGCAATACACACTTGCCACTTCCCTCCCCCAGCTTTCGTCTGTTGTACGCTCAAGTTCGCGTCTGAGGACTAAACGTTTCTTCCATTGCGGGCTGGGGATTGATTCTCAGAAAGTCTCGGGTTCATAGGATCATGTACACAACTTCAGAAAGTGACGTGAGATGCTAAGAATCTAATGACCCACCAACCACCCGGGTAGACACCGGACACTTAGACGGCCGGTGCTAGAAAGGCGCCAGATTTTGGGGGGCGTCCGCAAACCGTGCTCTCCACGATGCCAGGGAATGCAGAAGGCGCGCTTCCTTGCATCCTGGACATCGTGGCAGTCTCCCCAGACGTGTGAATTGCTGCTTCCTCGGGGCGCAAGCCCGAAACAGCATGCTCGGTCGCTGTAGCAAGGAAAGGAAAGTTCCAAACAAAGGAGGTGGACAAGGCACCAACTACTACATCACTTCTGCACTCATTTAAATTTTGCATGCATCCGGCGCATCTGCCAGGCCATGCACGAAATACAAAAGGATGGATCGCGGTCGGGGCCTTAGGAAAACACAGGCAGTTCAAGTCGCGAACATGGACAACATTTAACATGTGTGTGTGTGTGTGTTTGAGGTATGACAAGTTTTTCCCGGACTGGATCCCGAACTGTATCGCTGGGGCCTGACATTCTGACGCGTTGCCATTCCAGAAGTGTTCCGAGATGTTGCGACAGTGGTTAACCACACATTTTGACGACGTTGTCAAAGCTGAGATGCTGAGATCCTGTGTTCCAGGGCTTGCTTGCTTCGTTCCTGTGAAGGGTGGAAGGGTAAATATCTTCTTAGTTGCATCGGACAGTCAAAACTTGTCACTCCAGAACTTGGAGCCGGCAGCAACCGATATGAATGAAAGCACCCACAAGATATATGTATATACATATATGTCGAATATGCATATACATGTTTGTATTAGTTAAACATACATACATAAATACATACATACATATATGTTCATGTAAAACATTTACATATACATGTACATGTACAAGGACATATATAACATTTAACACTGCATAGAAAATTGTTCTATATTACATAATATAGTGTTATGTGGTGTAAGATTTTTTTGTATTATGCTATATTGCATGCATTATACTTTATTATATCACATCATATTAGATTGTTTCATACGATTTTGTCTCATAATACATCATATGCAGGTTTATTGTCTATACACGTATAGATACAGGAACACGAGCTCTCTCCCTCTCTCTTTCTCTTTCTCCCTGTCCCTCTGTTTGAGTTGACTTGTCTTCTTCGGGGCATTGACAGACCTCCCTACTCTTTCCGGCATTTCGAGGCAGAGATTTTGACGTGCGCAAGTCCTATTAAAAGCTGCATTTCAAATTTGAACGGATGGCGCCGTCTCAGTCTCCGCAGAATTCGGTTCTGGGCTGTGCCGTGGAAATTTCAAATGTGTCTTCCTGCAAACTTGAACCCCGACAATAAATCGAGGATGCCAACAGAAGCATCATACTTGGGTCGTAAGGTTCTATGGGTTTATCTATGCGCACGACTTGCTGAAACCGCATCTCTAAACATAAATTTTCAGGTTTTCGTGCGGAAGGTGTTTGCTGACAAACATCTGTGAACAAACAAATAAACTACATTACCTAGTTGTCGTGTGGGAAGTCACATCGGACACGTTTCCTAAATTTGCACACGACTGCTGAAACTGTGTTTCTAGACATAAAGTCTTCATTTTCGTGTGGAATATATTTGACGAACATTTGTGGACAAAAACGTAGAAACAAAGCCTGCGCTCGTGAGGAAGAGAACCACTAGAAATGTGATGAGTCAGTGAGCCTTGAAGAAACACTGTCATGAATGTATCAGCGGATGCTGCTGCCGAGGGTTTCACAAGCCACATCGGGATTCACTGCCGGTATTCATATGCATGCATCGGCCAAGCCAAAATCTCATGCCCCTCCTCTGCGTCTCCGCTAGACATGGTGGATTATGTGGATCTGCTGAATCTGTCTGCACCTGTCAGCGACATCAAGATTTGGTCTGCATCATCCGGTTTGTAGACTACAATCGAAATTCAGGGTTGAGCCTCACATCCTCTTCCACTGTTCACCGGGCGCTCAACTTCGCTAGAGAGGTCGGGAGTTCCCGGACATATGCCGCTGCACTTCGACGGAGCCAGACATAACCAAGAGCCCGCTCGGACTGCACGGTGCATCATCATGTGACAAGGTCCAAGGTTTCGCTTTAGTGCCCTGATTGTGTGCAGTAGGGCTGCGCACTCTACATAATTCTGCAGCCCAAAATGAACGACATTGAGAACCTTGAGGTGTGTTCAGACGTCCCCTGGCCCAGTGCGCAGCGGAAAACGATCGCATCGAGTGCAAGTCGTGGGCGCATGTTGGTCTTCTGGTTCTTTCGGATAGCAACAGAAAAACAAAAGCATCGGAGTCGTCGCGACTTTCTCGTGGACAGCGTGGCGTGAATCCTGAGTTCGTTTGTCGCATGACATCTGTTTGCGTTTTTGACACGCCGATGCTTTGCGCTTCTTGTTCCAATCAAATGCCCAGCATCAGTTGCTTCATCTCATAAGCATCCGACTAGCTCGTCATCAAACATCAAAGAGTTCAAAAAGTCATTTGCAAAAGGATCCATCCACGAAAGGCCATCCTTGTCGCCTTTTGGTACATAGTGCAGAAGCTTCTACTCCGCCTTTGTGGACATTGTGAGTTGCATTCGGCCAGGGAGCCTCGTAGCACCATCCCAGCCATGCTGCAAGCGGCGAGGTGAGTTCCATAAGTGATCCCTGGCCCGTGCTTGCAGGCTTCGAGCATCTCGGGAGGGAAGCAGAAACAGGACATTCCGCGAAGTGTGGTCTTTGCGACAAACAACACTGCCGTGCACGAGGCGCGGGAACTTGCAGAACTCAAGAATTGAACAGCGGCGCTTGTTCAGGTGTTCGACAGGTCCATCAAATCCTGGGATTGCATGTACAAGTCGAAAGCCTACGTGCACGTCTTTGAGCAGGTCCGTAGCCGCGATTTGAGACGGATGTGGCCCGGGTTTAAAATAGTTCACCACGCTTGTCTTTGGGATCATTTTTGCTGCAGGACGGCATCTCCGTCCAGGCATGAAATATCTAGTTGGATATGTGTTTTTTGTCATGCCAGTGTCTGTATTCCTGCCCCAGGACCTCATGGAGAGCCGCAATATCGTGCAGTACATCTCCGATGCGTGCCGTATCGTCACGCCAAGCGAGCCGAGTCTTTTGCGGAAACACAGTCATGACGAGAGGTACACCGAGTTTGCACGTTGGGAAGACAAGTTCTTCGAGGCATCAGCTCGCATGGAATCCTGAGCAAACGATGGAAGAGCTGTAGAAGTTTACGGACATCTGCCCGCAAGCGGCCTCCCTCCTGCCTCAAAGGAAATGTCGGGTGGACCAAAGCCTGTCATCCGCGAGCGCGCACGGATCTCCGTGCAGAGTTGTTTTTGTAGGCCCTCTGCTCGGCGCTTTCCAAGGGTCTGCATCCTCCTGAGGCGATTGACAACGATGAGCAGCGCAACATCGCTCAAGAATTGAAGGCGCATGTTCTTTCACGCGGGCTCGTGCCATGTCTCAGACTGTGCTTGAGTCGAGTGTAGTGAGGCGTGATGCATTATTATCTGTGGGCATTTCACTCCCCTGTCTCAAGCTGCGCCAGACATATTTTCCGGGCTTAGCACACGTAGACGAAGGCGCAAGCAGCGGTGCTAGATCTCCATAGACTGGCCATGACTAGCTGGAAACAACCCTCACCGCCCATACACTCATCCGGGAAGTGCCAAGTCGAAGGTGACAGCGCTCCAAGGATGCAGAAGGTGTTTTTAGAGCTTCGGCAGTTGTTTAGGCTTGGCGGGGGGTGGAGGGCCGAGGGTGTGGAGGTGGGGTGCGGGGACGGGAGAGGAGGGGGGATAGTAAGTTCGTCAGGCTGATATGCTTTGAGGATGATGATGATGATGATGCTGGTGATGGTTCGTCGTGTTCCCCGTCGTGCTTTTGTTACAGCTGAAGTTGCTTCGTCGGACGTTGCTGTTGATGACGATGATGCTGTTGATGACTCTAGTGGCTTCCTTGTCTCGGAATGCCTGTTCTGGCAAAACCTGCATCAAACACAACTTTGTCCCAAGCCCGGCCTCAAGAAGCGTGTCTACACATGTTGGAAACCATTGAACTCATGCAAAAAGGGCACACTTTTCAGATTAGCGTTTAAGTGATATGCTTTGCCACGCGTTTCTTCACATTTCCTCGAAACGTCCTTTTTCACAAATGCCACTCGACACACGACACCCTACAGAAGCGGCTACCAAGTGTAAAATACCGACAGTATATCCGTGCCTTGCGATGTAGCCAAGGCTGATATCTTTGCGCATGGCTGTCCTGTGCCAGGAGTTATGGCATGGCGAGATGTACATTAAGGTTCGGGAGTCCTCTCGCCACTTGTACACAATTGGCCATGCTGTCAGGTGGATCCATCTAGGGCCGGCGGGCAGCTCTGAGAACGCCACGTTCCTGAAGAGATAATTGGCAGCATGATCGCAGTTGTACAGCTTCGCAAACGCCCATCAAAGCTGCAATGCATGTCAAAACCAGCGCAGCCGATGAAGCAAGACACACCGAGCGAATTCTTTGCGACTGGCATGTAGCGATTTGCACTGCCTGCTTCTGCGGCTCGCTAGCTTCTAGCATTCTAGCTCATGACGGCTGGCCGAGAGAACCACAGCAATCCTCCACGGGGCTTGGGAATCCACGGATGGAGCCTGTCGAGCGGGTGGTTGAGTGAGACACTTCCTCGTTGGCTAACGTACCATCATCATCAGCTCAAGATAGAAGTGCATCATAGCATAGCATCATAGCCAAGTTAAAGAGACGCGTCTGAATAGGCCTACGAGGGCAGGACAAGTTGATTAGCAGAATGGCCTCCGAAGCTGCTGGATTCTTACTGTGACATACTGTGATCCGAAACCCGACCTGCCCTGTGCTTTCCAAAGGAGCCATCGGTGGTTCCACGTGGAGCTCGGAGCGATGCCGCCACACTTGGACATGTGAATGTCGTCTTCTTTAGTGACGGACAGTCCTAACAGAGAGTGAGAACCATGCACAGAACGGATATGAGAGTGGCAAATCGAGAAGAGCTAATCCTGGCTGGCCCCTAAACGCTCTGGCTTGAATGTCTTGCCCCGCTTGTGGCTCGGGCCTTTTCAGAGTGGGTGTGTGCCAGATAAGACTCTGGGGACGCGGGGCCTGTGGGTGATGGAGTCTCGGACCTGCTCGTAGATTTCACAAAACCTAAGAGCTCTTGTATTGGCTCCGTGTAAGATCATGCACTCCGATGACATGCAGACTGGGGTGGCTTCAGAGCTTGACCAGATCGGGGCTCACTGGTGTTGCCAGGATGGTGGCCCGATGCTATGTCACAGTTTACTGCGACAGTGCAAGCCTTACTGGGAGGGCGGGAAACGAGACGTTCCCAGAACCGAGAGATGATGCCTGCAGGACCTTGGCCATGCCAAGTTCATCTGTGGATGTACAAATCAGAGCCAACAAATTTCCTGTATTGCGAAGGACATAAGGACAAACCAAAGCAGGCAGGCATGCTGCACGGTGCGCGCGGCTGCAGCGCCCGCAAAGTAGCTCATTCATGCTCGATGCAAGCGGTGTCGTTGTCTTCGTGCTTTTGAATCGACATACGCCAGTAGAAGCAATGACTACAACCGCCATGATCGGTAGAGCCCAAGGATCAGGCGAGTGCACCTTGGTCCGGCCCAGGTTAAGCAGGAAGCCAGCACGAGCTATCCTCGGAAACCCGTGAGGACAGGTTCCGTTCCTTCAGCAAGGTAGGATTGCAGCACAATGTTTGCTTATGAAAGGAACACCGTGTCCATGTGGCAGATGAATTTCCCGTTCCTACCTTAGAACGCTAGAGCTCAGATCCTGCCGTTCAGCAATGGCACCTCAAAGCAAGCTGAGGCACAAATTACCGGGTGGGCACCGCAATCCCATCTGTGCTTTGGGCGAGTGCGGCGATCCTATGTGTGCATGCCCAAGTCGCATCACACACGGCTACGGCAAGGAACGACATGGTGTCTGTAAGTTTTTAAAGAAGAGCCTGGCAGCCTGGATTTGCAGAGCGGAAGCTTCTCAACATTCACTCAGAGGCAGCTGGAAGCGCTTCGCCTACTCTTACTACTCGTCCTCCCTCCTGCCGCTCTCGCTCCCGCTCCCCTCCTCCTGCTGCTACTGCTGCTGCTGCTACTTACTACTCCTCCTCCTACTCCTGCTCCTGCTGCTGTTCCTACTCCTACTGCTGCTACTACTGCTATTGCTACCTACCAAAAGACGAACTACAAGTACGACCAGCTGCCAACTACTTGGCAGTTATCAACAGTAATGCTTTCTTAACAATCAGTACCTACCAGAGCTTCCAAAGCAGCAAACAGCCACAAGCAGCAGCAACAACCCACGACAAGAACAACAGCACCTGCTGCTGATGAGTTCATCAGCGTCAAGCACGTGGGTTTACGCAGATTGTGGTGCAGACCCAGGCGCAGGGGAATTTCAGCGTTTGCGTGCCCGCGGGGGGGGATGTGGTCGGTGGTGGTACGTCCTGCTGCATCGAGGATGATAAGAATGATGATGATGATGATGAAGATGATGATGATGACGACGGCAGTGGTGGCGTAGCGATCCTGGTGGAGACGATGTGACGAGATGGCGATTATTCTGCTGACAAATTCGCGAGGATGAGGACCGTCTTTGGAGCAGTATATGATAACGATTATATAGTCATGTTGCTGCTTGTAATGATGCTGGTGCTACTACAATGATTTTGACCGCGACAACTACAAGGAGGAAGTAGCGGAGGAGGCAGGTGCTGGCATGATGACAAACATGATGCTGATCGCAATCAGGATGATCGATCATAGCCATGACAGTGGTGGGAATGATGCCAGCCTTCACTGCAAGAATATGTAGGTGATGAGGATAGTTTTCTCAGCGCCTTTATCCACGCCCTCGGCATGGCCATCGTGAGCAGCATCATGGCCATCATGAACAACATGATCTTCATGTCGATCGTAACCATAGTTGTCATGAGTTTGATCTTCCTCTCCCCACCTTCCCCTCCCTCACCACCACAGTCGCCGATCACCGTCAGCGTCATCATCATCAGCATCTTCATCATCACTATCACCACTTCAACCAGCCTTCGCATCCTTCACAACCATCACGATGGTCATCCTCACCCATGTCATCTTTCATCCTCATCCAGAACCTCATCATCACCATCACCACCATCATAATCGTCTGCTTCATCACCAGCGTCCTCGTCATCGTTGTCATCATCACCGACATCATCAGAAGAGCATCTGCAGTGTAGGGTCACGAGTTGCTAGTGATATTTCCACTGTGGCCATGGCGTTTGACTTTGGATTGACTGATGTTTGCCAAGGTCCGACATTTCGCGAGGAGCTTAGGACAGAGAGAAGAATCGGCTCCGTCAGACTGTCGGTGAACGAGTCAATGCTGAGCTAGCCACATGCGCTGCTTTGAACCGCAAGTCGGTCTTGTAGATAGCTGCCAGCATACAAGTCACATCCAAACCTGCCACCGGTTGCCGGCAAAGTATGGCTCCAAGAGTGGTCCTCATTGCAGAGGCAGAGCATATTGTGGCCTTCCCGGCGAATCCCCTTGGCGCAGCGCAAGGGAAGACCTGCATGTGGAAGGGCTGCCAGGATGTCGTGGGATGCATCCCGTTGATGGGTGCGCTGCACCCTGCTTGGTTGCCTTCACCAGTACTTACTCTGGGTGCTTCTTGTACGCCGCACCGCCGACCGCAAGATCACAGGGCATTGCACAGTTGCCTCTCGCCATCTCGTAGCGACATGCCTTTGCTGAAAAAATGCTGCTGGAACATCCGTGCTTAGCTTCTACCCCTCGGCCTCGAATTGGACTTGGGTTCGCTGCTGTTGCGTGTCCTCGCACTGCAGCATAAATCGTCTCCTGGTAGATATCCTGCTGCCTGCTCGGAACAGATGGCCCCAGGCCCCAGGCCGCATGAGTCGAAAGGATTGTGAAACACCGGAAGCAAAAGGCCGTCCCTGCGGCACAGCACGACAAAGTGCCCGGGAGAGGCAAGATTAAAGCTGAAGGGCACGAAGATGCACCCGACACATGCAGGGCTGGGCGCTGCCTCCTGCATAGCAGATTGCCGGGAAATCCGGCGGCGTCACGCAAGGTTGTCCGCCCAGCGTCCAGCGACCACAGGCCGAACACCCCTAATCTGCAAGCTAGCTGCGCAGGGCCGCGAATTGGAGAAACGTGCGAATTACTCCACCCATCTCCACCCACTTGCATCACCGTGGGCACAAGATGCTGGTGGGTTTTGAGCGTAGAAGATACTCCACACATATGACCGATTCAGCTCGGTCTCCGTGCACGTACTATGCGGGGATGCATGTCACATGCGATGACGAGGTTCCGCTGGATTGGCCGAAGGCTGCCGATAAGGTCGTTTGGACAAGCCCCGCGACAGCCTTGGTGCGACTTGGTGGCACCACTGAATTTCAGAAAAAAACTGCTGTTGCCAGTTGCAGCGAGAGGCTAT